CCAACTAGATAGTCTTCCTTCCACTCTCACCTTCTCTCTCTCCCCGTCCATCCAATTGAATACTGTTTTACCTGCATACATACTATCATTGTATTTGCATCAAATTTCGAGGCTGAATGGACCATTTGTGGCCTTGGGGCTGCAGGTGATGCGAAGTATACCGTGTTCCATATCAAGAAACGGATGTATAGAAGCCATCTGAGGATATTCATTCTGCTTCAAGGGAAAACCGGTCACCTCATGAACGAGGTACCATTCCCGATCCCATGCAAGCCCTTCTTTTTTGACCTCCCAACGCTTGCCTTCAGGAATCTTGAAGGCGGCACAGCCTTTGATGGGAAATATCGTCAGACTCTCAACATAAAATTGAGGGGCAACCAAAATTTTCTCATCCATCTGAGGACTCAATGGAACCAGAGGAGGGGCTTTCTCCACATAAAACTCGTCGACGAAGTCCGTCAGTGAGTCTATACCCTTCAAATTGGTCATTGCTCCTATGCTAACTCGCAAAATGCCAGTTGGCCGGCCATCTAACACGTCATGGTCATCACCGCAGCGTAAACCAGTAGCATAATGACGACGTAGGTCTTGTCCTGCCCATCCAAGCGACATGGCCGTTCCTCCAGGGTTGCAGACTGAACCAGAACGCAGTTGGATATTTCGTACCGTTGCCAGTTTTTCTATCTCGGACTTAGGGATCCACTGGCCGTGACTGTTTTTCATATTGAAAGCGATGATCGGGCCTTGGAGGGCGAGGTTTCCATAATTTGATTGGTAAATCCGACAGACCTTCGCGCCGTTGAAGTGTCTCAATGCAGAGAGTCGATTATAGAGTCGCTGAGCGAGAAACCCAGTATGGGCAGAAATATTCGACATTGATCCGTACAGACGTTTGTGCGTCTGAAGGGCGGCGTCAAGTGCAATAATGCTGTGAAACGGAAGGGTGCCATCCTCAAGCCGCTCATGGATTGAGGTTTCCTTTTTGGCATGCCATTGTGCTCCGGAGGCTATCACCATATCCACTGTACCCCCGCCAAAAAAACTTTCGTCGCTCAAGTACGGATGCAGTGCTTTTTCGGACAGTCAAAGCCCCCAAATCAGGAAACCCAAATATTTTGTAAAAGCTGAGCGCCGTAAAATCCGGTGCGGTGCTTGCTTCACCTAGGTCAAGAGGGGCGGTTGATAGAAACGAGGCAGCATCAAGCAAGGTGAATACATTCTCTCCCCCGTTGGCAGCGGAACGTATTTGGCCGCTCCACTGAAGTGGAAGACGTCGGCCGTTCATGTTTGATTGAGCTGGAAAGGCAAACAGCTTAGGGAATGTAGACTGAGCTGTGCCTAGCTCAGAAATCCAAGTGTCTACATTGGTATCGTCAAAGCATTGACAGCCCATGGCCGCGAGTTCCCGAACACCAATCACACTGGTGTGGGAATCAACGTGGTACCCATACCAAAATCCTCTAGGGTCAGAATCTCGAAAAGATTCCGCAATCAACTTGATAGCTGCTGTCGCATTTGCCACAAAAACCACATCAAACTCATCGGGGCTTGCACTGAAGAACTGGAGGACTCGGAGTCGCAAGTTTTCTGTCCGCTCTGTAGATAGATGTGACGATACAGACATCGAATGGGGATTTCCGAAGAGGTTGGATATCATATCACCCGAGAATGACTCGATAAACGATTTGGCATAGAGCGTTGTTCCGGCGTGGTCCAGATAAGTTGTTCCTGCAACCAGTGAAAGACGGAAGTCAGTACGGAAGAATCAAGTAATATCAATGCCTAGGCGATACCATTGAGAAGAGGATACTCTTGTTCACGGATGGCATCCACATCCGCAAAGTATCCTTGGCCATATTGGGAATGGACGTACTCCTCCTCAATGCTCTCCATCACAAAGTGGGCGGACGGAACTGAAGAATGTAGCGTGATCCGTTGCGAAAATAGTTTGCCTTTACGTGGAGACAAATATTCAAGTGATGACTGTTTCAGTGAAAAGGGTAAAAAAGCCGCGGAGGCATGCGGTAGATATTTATAGCTGGAATAGATGGAGAAAAAGCAGTCTTTCGTGATCATACATATACTAGATGACAAGGAGGTCTAGAGATGGTTGCGCTAATAGTCGTTCGACTTCGAGACAAACTTTGAATTAATCACCTCTGACCATCTTGCTGCAGATGTGCACCGGAATTGCACCAACTGCGGGGAGCGTTTTTGACAGACCCTCCCCGGAGTGGCGTGGGGCCCACTACATACTCTTTCTATTCAACTGCGTATTCATCAAACGCTCAATAACTACGAGTGTGGCTTGAGTGAAATTCGTGCGAGGCGAATTCTGAATCCCAGAGTACATCAGTATCAATGACAAGATGTGGAGGTTTCCCCCTCATTGAGGGATGGCTATTTAGTAGCTTCCAGCGATCTATGGGAAAGAAGCAACAAAAATATCGGATTAACCTTTTGCGGAAGGTATTCCACGATGGACAGGTGAAAGGTGGACTTTGGGATTCTTCTAATTTTAAACGACGGAAGACTGTAACGATGATGTGATGATGTGTGATGTAATTGACGGGTGTCTAAAAGCTCAGGATCCGATGGAAATAAATATATTTGACACACTGTAAGACCCAACATATTGACCGTAAACGCCGGGCATACATACCATCCAACGAAACATGCCAACTACAAATCAAGCTACCGCTCCAGCTATCGTTCCATCATAAGTATGAGGGAATTTGTATGTTGTCAAGAGGTTGACAAATTCCAAGGCATCGTTCTGAGACTGCTTTGACCCATAAAATGATGCCCTCGGCCCTCCCTTACTATCCCAGAGTCGTAGGAAAGTGAAACCATCTGTATGGTAAAAGCGCACTTCCCAACAAGATTTATATCCGTCGGTCGAAATAGATTCAGAGTCACCCATTAGGAGTGTTAGGCGATAGAGCAGAAGTGAGGACGATATATGGTATAAAAATCCACAGTGTCGTAGTGAAGTTTCGAAATGCTCCGATGAATGGCATTCGTTGAAACTTTGAGCATCCCTCAACTCAAAATCTCGCGTACACGGGTTCCACCAAAGTTTGTCGTCGTCCCATTTCACAAACTCCCTCTGTCGTCTTCGACCGAGAACTTCGGATCAAGTTTCACCGAGCACCATTTCCTTTTCATTTTTTTCTGTAACAAATGGGTAGCTTCTAGCTCATCCTGGTTTAACCGGCCGCCCTTGTCGTATTGCTGAAGCACCATGAGATCGATTCGAGGAAATGATCTTAAGGTCTCAAAAAGATTCTCGAGGTATAGCCTTTGATTTGAATCTGAAAGACGCCTGAAGTTCTCATATAGGTTGTCTCCGCATAGGTGGATGGTCTCAAAGGCATCGTGGATTGAGAGTGAAAACCGAGCTCGGTCACATTGACGCTTTGCTTCAGCCTCGGCCAAGGACTCGGCTGACCTCTTATGGTTGGATGTTGAAGAGTCCATATTGTTTAATTAAACCTGGCAAAGAATCAACACCTAGAGTCGTCAATCAAAATCGTAGCATATGGGTAAAGACCGGCGTACTAACCTTTTTAGTCGAACTAGTGCTGAATGCTGATTAAAGGAAAGGGGAGAGGTAAGGGAACGAAGAAAATGTTCTAAGTTTAAACGGTGGTGGTAAAAGAAAGAAGAAAAGGGAGAAGATGGCCATTATATACATACTACTGCAGTTTAGCTGCTTGTAAATTACTAAGAACGCTATGTTGTATTTTAGGATATTTAAGGCTCCCAGGAACTTTCAGAAAAGGTTCCGTCTGAGGAGCACATCATTATTCTTGGGCCTTGTGGAGCTGACGTGAGGGATACTGCAAATGGTTGGATTCAAGCGCAACCGGCGCGGCGTGCAAACCTGATTTGCGGAAAATATGCCAAGCGGTATTGGAAGATCACCTAGATCATGAACTGACTCCGGAGGGCCGCAAATCCGGAACAGATCGTCGCTTCCTACGCGGCATTAACGAATGGGCCACTGTTATGAGATCGAACTGAAGGACTTGACTATAACGATATTGAAATTTTAGGCTGTGGCTGGCCCCGCAATTGATAGTCAGAATAGATACGATGTCTAATTTCATGGCGCTTTCTATTACGGTGCTGGATACTGCCAAAGATATGGCAAGATTAACCGTGAAAGGTATGGAGCTATAGAAATCAAGATAGAATTGGAGAGAGTAAAGCGGCGAAACTCATTCGAGCGCGCGTCTGTACACTCGCCCAATTCCCAGGAGCGGAAGGGGACCAAACGTCAATAAAGCGCTTATTTTTTCAAAATAAGCGCGATCATACCTCCTGGGAGCTTAAAACTTTCAAGGCTCTTGATCGCAGATCGCTTTATTTCCCTAATTCTTGCATATAAATACATCTATTTAATCTCTAATATCACGACCCATTTCACACGGCTTTGATAAATCCATGACAGAAGCTCCAGGTATGAAAGGATTAATCTTGTCTGGGAAGTTTACCTACTAATTGGCTGGGGGTAGATCCCTCCTATTTTGACTTAAACAGAGGCACCATGGTCAATACCGGAGTATCGGGTGATAAATTGGGCTCGGAAGCCAACCCTATCGTGATAAACGCCGATGCCAACGATGATTGTGGGGAGCATCACGCACCACAACAGGATGTTTCTGATGGGGACACTGAGCCTTTGAGTACACCAGAATTTTGGGCGACTTTTGATGATGGAGGCTCTCACGTTCCACAGAACAATCCCAAGTCCGCACTGACGAATTCGAATTGTGACTTGACGCCATGCAAATCAAAATATAGTCAAAGTCCCATTTTAAGTGGGTCCCTTGAGCTTGAATTTCCCCACGCGTATCTAGAGGAGGAAAGGTCCGAGGCTGCCAACCCTCCTAAAATCGAAGATAGTATGTTTATACGAATAATTGAAGTGGACTGCTTGAAGATTCGTTTTGCTGACAAAATCTGCCCCAGGGGCCTCACAAAACAAAGATCGAAGCTGTCACCGGAAAGCAGAGACCCACGCGGCATCTGGTGGTCGAGGCTACTTCGTGCGGTCTTGTCAAAGTGATGAATTGCCATCTATCGAGACTAGCCATCCGGAGAGTGAAGGGTTTGGTAAACGCAGAAGGGGACATGGAGGAGAGGACTATTCTAGGAATAGGCGATCAAAGCGCCTGGCAGCGAACAGGAAAATGAATGGATGAGTGTAACGTTATCTTGATTAGCTTCTCATTTGAAATTCATACAGTATCAAGACTCTGTCCAGATACTGTGAAAGATCCCCTCCTCTCCAAAAACCCCCCTGGCCTTGTCTCCCTCAGCAACAAATTAGAAGGGAAAAATATCCATGTCCGATCAATGTGTAGTAGACAAATATAGTTAAAAAATAGATTTACATCCAGTTGACTGTACAAATCACTGCAGACCAGGCCTTCTTGCCCCGAACAGAACAACAATCTGCATAGTATTCTAGTCCGCAGCCTTTATTATCTAGGAAAAGCTAGCATTTTTGTACCCTATTGCTACCTAGTGCAGCGGCAGCCTATTACCCATCCACTTATACAAACATATACATACGTGATCTTGGATCAAACGTCTCCGAGGGGGCCAGGTAAATAGAAAACATTCGTCCTCATTGCTGCCTTCGACGCGGACATCTGCATCTTCTTCTACTGTAGCATTAGCTCGCTTAATAAGGGAATAATGGCGCTCCAAACTCACTATATCCCAGTTGTAGTTAAACGACGTCGGATTATCTCTACCAACGTCTAAGTTGACAGTTGGAATGATGCCCCATTGAACCGATTGTTCGATTATCCGGCGCATCTCGTGGTATCGGTTACCTGTGAGGCCGCGGACTGTTGAGCTCCTTTCGCAAGATATGCACTGGCAATTGCATAGATTATATCAGGCATGGTCAAATAGGATATAGTTTCCGAGAATCTAGTCCTGAGCATACTAAAGTAAGACCAAATATGAGAAGTACGGTACGAATTGAACCAGCATCTGTAAATAAGTATTCGATTCCGCTCGATCAGCATTTCTGAGCGTTTGTGCCTGACACACGCTCTTGTAGACTAGGTGATTCTAAGTAGTAATTGAAACTGATTCTGAGACACCAATCTAGGTACACGAAGAATGTAGTAACCTTCCCCTTGGGCATTGTGAAGGCTAAGCGGGAAGTAGCCATTGCGATGGCTTACAGACCAGATGCAGGTAGCCAACTTTACCGTCAGACCATCAAATTGAGCAGTGGTATTTGCAAACACTCACACGATATCAACGGAGGGCTTTGTCTGTTTGGCACGCCGAAACATCTGCCTCGCTTCCACGCCTAGAGATACCAACAGATGGGTCGCTCATATCAAGACGTCTGGCAATGTCGATAGAAGCATCTGCCTCGCTTCCACGCCTAGAGATATCAACAGATGGGTCGCTCATATCAAGACGTCTTGTAATGCCGATAGGAGCCAGGCTCCCCCCAACGCTTTTGACAGTCTCCGCCTTTAATGCATAGAATTCGACAGATGCAAAAGGGAGCGCTGACACAGCCACCACCGAGCAAATAGTAAGAGTGCGGAGATGCATTTCAAACTCGAAGGAGGTATGAGTTAGTGAGAGTCAACACGTAGAATATGCTGGGAACGAAAACACTCACTGTATGAATGCCGGATACTGGGAAGAATTGTTGTCAAATGAACATCAAACAGGATGAAGCATTAGGCTGTTGGTGTCATCTTATACGTCTTCGCTCGTATGGTAGCTTACAGTGGGGCGCAAATACCAGCCTTGTTTCCCCAGAAGCCTGGTGTGGTTAATCTCCGGTCCTTCATTTGATCTCCTAGTATCGAGGTTAATAACCAGGAGACAGTTCACCAATGGAATCAATCAGATGCGAGGTCAATTCCAGCACGAGATATCTGCGAATCTATCTAATGCCATCGTTGAGTATTCAAAATGGAGTTCAAACTTCGTAGCGTTCACGCACTATCCCGCATAATAACTCATCATACAGTTGCATTATACCCTTTGGCTTGGATAAGGCCTGAACCTGGTTATAAATAACATCATGTCATTATATTGCCCCAGTACCCAAGGAAAAATTATTCAGCCTGTTGACTCTTCCGAATAGTCAGACTATGAATGATCCGGTACATATGTTGAAGACCTTGAGTAGAATACATCTGCAACTTAATGCACGGTCTGTCCCAAAAGCAATGGCATAAAAAGCATAAATTTGTTAAAATGCGTAATGTTCATGTTCAATCGTCATATGTAATAGAATTCAGCATGATACCTTTTCATTGGTAATTCCCTTAGCCAATCCCCGAGAATTATCACAATTCCAATCAAATTGAGTTGAGTTGCTCTCATATCTAGAATACAGCACAGCTTATGAATATTGATTAGCCTTACACCGGTGTCTCCGCAGATTGCCACGAACAGCAATTCTCTCTTGCTTGATTGATGGTCACACAGTGGGTTTGGACGGAATCCTTCATATCGTTCTAGACGAAGCCCCGGGATTAATAGAGATTCCGCCATAGATTGACATGCGAGGCTCGTGAGTAGCGCGTTATATTAAGTCAAGCTCATCCTTCGGGACTCCTTTATCTTTCGAGAACTTTATCATGCATCGTTGGAACCTATTCCAGCGCGTCTGGGTACCGTTCTACAACCAGAGGAATCTTGCCTATGTCGGTTTAGAACGTGAACCAGATGTCGAGTCAGATGAAGATATCACCGCACAGAAACCATCCAGGTCGACGCTGCTCATTCGAGCGTTGTCTCCGAACGCTTGGTCTTTCGTCGCATTTGTATTACTGACTATGCTCATTGGCAATTTCTCTCGGTGTGGATGTGATTTCAAAGACAGCATTTCAATATGGGCGATGCCAGATTCAGGTGTGTGCGGATGGGGCGTATCATACAGCAAATAGAAACCTCTTAACAGCTGAATTTTTCTTTTTAGATATGGCAGAACCACTATTAAGGTTTGAGAAAAGACGATTCACGAATGCGATTCGAGACGACTCCAATGGCAATCTCTACTCTTCAATCAACCCTTATGAACTGCAGTATGCCGGCCTTCCGACTCCTGAGATCGATAAGAACTGGAATGAGCTTATTGGTGGTATGGATTCACGATATTATTTATCCCACTGTCGTTCTAATGGCTCTATAGGTCGATACTTTCGCTTAGAAGCTTCTGAAGTATTACTGCTGAACCAAGACTCCAAGCTCCCAGCGCTTACGGAGATGTATAGCAATGAGCGTATAACCAAAGAAGGATTCTACGGTGGTCCCGACGTGCTTCATAGTCTCCATTGTTTGAACGCTATACGAAAACATTTAGACATGGATTATTACGCAGACTCCATGGATCTTCCACCAGAATATCGCCGTATACACATTGACCATTGTGTTGATCATCTTCGACAGGCGTTACTTTGCCACGGCGACCTCACACCGGTCACTATGAAGCCTGTTGCTGCGAACACGTCTTTACCGTATTCGGTTACATTTTATCTTGGACAAACCGAGCGTGAGCATACCTGTCGGAGTGCGGAAGCCATAAGAGATTGGGTTACTGCCCGTGGGCAACGGACGGGTCGCATTGAGCCTCACCATCCGAATTTATGATAAACGCTAGTGCTGAACGAACTGATTGGTGGTGAATTTAATTTTAAGGCTCGAGTCAAATTGTTTCGTTGAATTAAGGCGTGATTCGATAGGGGACAGCGGGATCGCATTCATCGGTCATCAACCACACTAAAGCAACCTCCATGGGGATGTCTGTCTGTTTTGTGATTGTTGTGTGAGTTAAGCAGTATACGAAAGAAGCAAGGTCATTGTTCTTCGATAGATCGTGGTACTCCGATGAAGCACGGCATCAAGAAAGCCTTATGGGTGCAACGTGTGGCGATATTTACTAAAAAGCTAAGACTTATTGTGATAAATGCGGAGTTGCTGCTTGAAAAAGTTTTGTTCCGTGACAATCACACTTAATCTGCTGGATGACGTCAAATGAATTAGCGTTTACGGATCACACCTACGTCTAATATGGTCCGAGAATCAAAAAAGCCAATGTAGAGCTGAACGTATCCAAATGTCGACTTGTCCATATGTAGTGCACTGTTCCAGATTTTAAGGGGCACGTTCAATTAGCAGCGAGCATCCGAGCCTTTGCGAGTAGACGCAGGGCCTTCGGCCAAACGTATTCCCGAAGCGCTTTTGTTGCTGATCGCGCGACATTCGTAACTGCAAACCCTTCTCCCTCATCTAACGTTGGAATCACCATGAACGCGGAAATTCTGCCATGACTGATAATTCCCAAGCAAAAATAATAGAAGAAAGCCCCATTGGAAATGGCCTCGATGCCTTCCGGGCATCGTTCAAGTCGATTTGTGAAGGGAGGAGTCTATCCTGCACGTCGGACGCGCTCAATCATTTGACGCAAGATGGGAAGGATGTTGGTAATATTGTAGCTGTCTATCATCTAACAGTCATACAGATATTCAAAATTCCACACTCGACCTATTGTTTGCTTTGCGGAGCCTTTCTACCACTCGGCTCTTACCATCGAAAACAAGTCATGGAACCCTCCAGAATGATCTCCGAAAACTAATATCTGCGGCTGCCTCCGAAGCGTTCCATTCCTCCCGCGTATGGCCTCTCTTGACTGCAATCCTCGCACACAAACCGGACCGCGAAATCTGGGATTGTGTCTACAGCGCAGTCACCGAACCCACCCCGCCTCCTCGAGCCATTATCTCCTCCCTCCAACAGACTCCATGGCTTCAGAAGACGAGTAGTTTCGCGAACTCCTCGGAATACCGCCAAGATGTTGACAGGATCCTCAAATCAGAACTCGGGCCTCTGTACGTAGGGCTTCCGGATTTCCGATCGACCTTTTTTGGAGGCGTCAGTGGTCTTCAATCAGCATCCGATGCCGTATTCGAAAAATGCACAAAAGGCAGAAATGCTCTTTTTGCTGAGGGGTGGAAAGGATGGCCCAAAAACGCAAACCAGGAAGATGTCTTGAACTGGTTTGCAGATCTGAGCGAGAAGCTGGCAGCATTGTCAGCGGATTATAAACCTGCGACTGGACACCTGCGAAGGCCGCTAGCACAGCCCAACAAGCCCATCCATGGCTCCACAGCAGAGCGCAAATTAGACATCGGCTTCGTGAGTGACGCTGACGCAGAAAAGGACACCCCATGTCAGTGGTCGCAGGTTGTTGTGCCTGGAGAGCTAAAAAGCAATCCTGCCGCCGACACGGCTTCCAAAGCATGGCTTGACCTAGGGCGGTATGCCAGGGAAGTCCTCGTCGCCCAAGATACCCGTCGCTTTGTCCTTGGCTTTACAATATGTGGGTCCTTTATGAGGATATGGGCCTTTGACCGTCTCGGCGGAGTTGCATCCGAACAATTTGACATTAATAAGGACGGACTCCAGTTTGTCTCGACTATTCTCGGTTTTCTATGGATGAGTGAAGAAGACTGTGGGTTTGACCCCACAATCACCATAGAAAATGGCCAGCGAATCATCAAAATCGACCATAACGGTCGAACTGAGCGTTTAGTCCTTGAAAGATTGATGAAGCGGGCACCTTGCATCGCAGGTCGAGCAACGACATGCTGGAAAGCGCACCGTGAAGTGGATCCTGGAGTTCCGCTCGTTGTCAAGGACTCTTGGCAGTATACGGAGCGTGACGAAGAAGGTGAGCTTCTCCAAGAAGCTACCGAAAGAGGTGTGGTCAACGTTGCACGCTATTACCACCACGAGACTGTCTGCATCCGCGATAAGGCTGATGATGTCCGGAATAACGTTCGAGGCGGCTTGGATATCAGGACCGCGAGCAACTTTCGACCTGAACGGCCGGTGCTCTCGACTAGCACAAGTGCAACTGATACTCCACGAAAGGGCCGAGGTAGCGTCAGGTCCGGCGTGAAACGCTCTTCCAGTCAAACTGGTGCATTTTTGCCCCCTAATAAGCGATCCTGTTCGGCTTCTCCTACCAAAGCATCCGGCAATCCACTGCCAAACCGAATTCATCGGCGTATTGTGATGCGGGACTATGGCAAACCAATTTACAAGGCAAGCACACGCACGGCCCTCCTTACCGCATTAGAGGGTTGCATAGCAGGGCACAAGTCATTGTATAAAGCAGGAATTCTTCACCGAGATATCTCCGTCAATAACCTCATGATCAATGAAGACAACGGGAACCCTTCGTGGCCATCATTCCTAATTGATCTTGACCTCGCCATTAAGGAGAAGCGGGACGGCATCACGGGAGCAAATGGCAAGACCGGCACGAGGGCCTTTATGGCAATAGGTTCGCTACTAGGCGAGAAGCACTCCTTCATGCACGATCTTGAATCATTCTTCTGGGTCATTTTTTGGATTTGCATCCATTACGAGAGATCGGGCGAGGGGAAAGTCGTTGCAAGATTTGACAAGTGGAATTTTGTGGATACAGAGGAGCTGGCTAGTATAAAGAAAGGCGAGATATCCGATGAAGCAGACTTTTTGAAGTCTGCTAATGAGTACTTCACAGAGTACTACCGGTCACTGATTCCATGCGTCAACGCACTTCGGAATGTGGTCTTCCCTCATGGAAGGAGGTGGACGAAAGAAAATACAGGATTATATGATCGAATGAAAGAGATCCTGCGCGTCGCTCGAGAAGACTGAAATACAACTATTTTTCCTAGATAAGATCCCCATCATGTTACCGTACAGTAGTATTCGAATTCAGTTATACCTTCAAACTCTTGCGACTTGGTTCACGGAAAATAAATCCGATGATCGTGAGTCCTGATTGGGTAGGCGATGAAGGCCCCGCACTTCAGACCGCTTTCTAGACTGGTGGTTGTTTCTTACAATACAATGGTATGACACCACTCGGTGTATTTTACACGCAAGGGCTATACGCATGCTACCTGGAGCGCCCCTCCATCCAAATAACCTCCGCAACCATTCGCCTGTCCGCGAGATTTTAGTATCCCAGATCAGACGAACGACACGGCTCCTAGGCTTTCTATTTCAAAGCTTCATATGATTCGTGAAATGATAGAAAACCAGTCCTTTACCACGTCTCAAATGGCCGAAGAAGCTGAATGTACCGAGCTTACGATCATTAATATTCGCAGAAACTTACGCCAATTTGGAACTATGCCCCCCAAACCCGAGTCGGCCGAAAGCGAACCGTGACACCGCTGATGATAAAAGCTCTCTGTGACCACCTTTCTGGGAAGCCTGGTCTCTACCTCGATGAAATGGCTGTGTTCCTGTGGGATGAGTTTCAAACCATGGTCACAATCTCCAGCATTAGAAGGGCTCTTGTAGCGATAAATTGGTCTAAAAAGGCAGCGCGGCAGCGTGTGAGTAGAATGCGGACTTGAGAGACTATTACCTCCACAACCTGTCCGAGTTTCAGTCGTATCACCTGGTATATGTTGATGAATCCGGCTGTGATAAACGGGTCGGGTTCAGGCGCACCGGTTGGGCACCTCTTGGTAGAGCTCCGTTGCAAGTAACACAGTTTCGACGCGACCAGCGATATCAGATACTGCCCGCGTATGCTCAGGATGGGATAGTTCTCTCGCGTGTATTCCGCGGTACTACGGATGCCGTCGTCTTCGAAGATTTCATAGCTCAGCTTCATCATTGTGGCAGATGGCCGGAACCTAAATTGTTCTGGTGATGGATAATGCATCCTTCCATCATCCAGAGCAGATTGCACAGATGTGTGCAGATGCTGGAGTGAAACTGCTTTGTCTGCCGCCATATTCGCCAGACCTCAATCCGATTGAAGAGTATTTTGCTGAGCTCAAAAGTTTTATAAGACGTCACTGGAGTCGCTATGAAAACGACCCCGAGCAACTCTTTGATGTCTTTCTTGAATGGTGCATCGATGTGGTTGGCGCAAAAGAAGAGAGTGCCCAGGGCCACTTTCGTCATGCGGGCTTGGAAATTGAATTTTTTGGCGCATAAAAACCGGACATGTTGAGTTTGATTGCGGGGAAGATATATGCGTCACATAAGTGGAAGACAACGATCGTATACTCTGTAAAAGAACAATACAAGCCCCACTGGCAAGGTGCGACGGAAATTTTTCCAATATGAACTGGTAGCAGCTTTGGGAAAACAATCGAAGAGTGAAGACATTTGCAAAGCTTCGCTACTTTATATATATATATATATAACCTTTTATTTCGCGAACAACACCAAAAAGCAGGAACTAAGGGAGGCTAGGTGAAACCTCCAAATTGATATTGACTATGGTCTAATAGACGAGAAACAGGCAGCTGGGCTACAGGGTCCAGTTGGTTCCTTCGGCTGCAAGCATCCCTATATACCATATTCCCATTAGCACAGTAAGCTGACCATGGCCTCCAGCTGTCCAGGGGATCGCCAAAGAGACAGCTAAACGGCCGTTTGTATCGAGACGTTTGACCCCAACCAGCTCGGTGTTGGTAAGCACAAATCTATGGCGCGCTTTGCGTTGGCCCATATAGAAATTCACCTGCGCCAGGACCTGCTTGTACTGTTCTTGAAAGAAGGGGTTCTGCGAATGCCGGTAGTTGGAACGCCATTTCCACGAGACCTTTATGTCTCCTGGGGCTCGGTTCGTACTGTTGGCGTAGGTCCCCCCCACGGCGACGAATGCAGTGTCTGGTCGAAACTGGTCGACGTACGCTGCAGAGCCTCCGCCATCAAATGTGATCGGCACAAGGCTTAGTTGCTGGAGCCGGGGTGCTAGTTCCTCGAACCCGGCTCGAAGTGCGCGCCTAACACGGGGTTGAAGCAGCTCGGCAAATCGAAGGTGGAAATGAGGTTCATCCCTGATAGCGGCAGGAGGGGACCTGAAAGGATCGGATACGATCTGCTTTGAGTTCAAAATGCCGCCGTATCATTGAATAATTGTTGCATAATTGAACTCTGGCCAATCGACGACCTGT